TCTCACCTTGCCTTGCTTGCCGCTTTTCACCCCCACGCCTCTTCAACCCAACAGCTTCTTGTTCTTCTTCTTTCGCTCATTCCTCATCGAGCGCGCGCTCGTTTACAAATCGCGATCGCGATCGCGATCTGCTCCCTCTGCATCCTCCTCCTCCTCCTCCTCCAAAAAAGCTGCAGCCCCCACCATCACGTCCTCTCAAGATCTCGCCATCGGTTTCCTAGCTGGTGTGGCTAGCAGGTTCTTCACCACACCACTCAGCAACGTGACGGTCAGATTGCAGACCAGCTCAGAATCGCCATCAAAAGGCGCTGCGGATAGCAGGAGCCAAAAGCAAAAGCAAGAGAGCGATAGCGATAGCGAGAGCGAGGATGAGGGCAATTATGCCGATGGACCGGGAATCGTCACCACGTTGAAGGATATTGTGGAGGAAAAGGGGGCTCTGGGTGAGTGTGAGCGGGAGAAAGGAAAAAAGTGACAAACGAGTCTTTTTTCAAATTCTCTTCGTCTCGCCCCCTTCTGATGCGCGGACGTGCCTCGCCTTCATTTTCATTTTGGCGCACAGGTCTATGGTCAGGCTTCGAGACTGCCATCCTACTATCCTCTCAACCTGCCATCACCTTTTACGTCTCCTCTCTCCTCTCCCGAGTCCTCATCCCGCGTTCATCTCGCGACAAACCAACGGCAACTCAGGTTTTCTTTGTCAATGCGCTGGGAAGCACCGCTAGTACGCTCGCGCTGTACCCCTTGATATTGAGCAAGAGCAGGTTGATGTGGAGGAGTCCCAGTGGAAGGAGACAGTATCGCAAGTGAGTGGCAGCTGACAATCCTGCGAGCGAGAGTGGCGGGCGATAAAGTAGACTCATCGTACCCCTTGTGCGTTTCTTTCTACCTTTTTTTTTTGGCTGCCTCCCTTGAGCAGCCTGCTGGATGTGATCAGAAAGACGGTTCGCAGATCGGGCGTCAAGGGTCTGTATCAGGGATGGGAGAGTCAAATCACAAAGGGTCTATTCAAGTACGTCGTGGTGGTGGAGGAGGGCGAGGCGTGGGCCGTTCGATGCTCATTTTCCCCTCTCCTCCTTCTCCTTCGCTGACCTGCGTGCGACGCGCAGCCATGGACTGACCAGTGAGTATGAAAGGCAACGTTCTACTCACAGCCTTTGAGGAAAAGGTTCTTTGGGCGCTCTGAAGCTGCGGATCTTGCTCACCCCCTCTTCAACAACTTGCCCCCCCCCCCCCCCCCCCCCCC